GTAGTAGTAGTAGTAGTAGTAGTAGTAGTAGTAGTAGTAGTAGTAGTAGTAGTAGTAGTAGTAGTAGTAATACTAATTAATTATTTTAGAATTTATGATTTTTTTCCTGATTCTTTACTTTTTACAGCCTTCTTGTTGTTGCAGATTGCTCTGTATGTCAGTGTCTAAAACAATAAATATTTTTTATTTTTTGCAATCTAAGTGTGTCTAGCTGGACTTCAGGACTCTGTGGCTGGAAACTGCTTACCTCTGGGGCGACATAAACATCATCATCCTACTCTGTTTTCCAGAGCTCAGAACTGAGGCTTGTTCTACTGGACCAGTCAGCCTGGTTCTGGAGCAGGTGGGCCGCATTGTTGATAGTGTAAAACATTTCTCTGGTTTTACTTGGCCTATCAAAAAAACTGGTTGAAGTTCGAAGTTCCCACTTTTGACTTAATTTGAAAGAGTTTCAGAGAGGGCGCATCTTTCCAGTCCGTCTAAGCGAACATTATCTGTTAATCAAATGGAACAAATTTTAATATAATAGAACATTACTTGACAATTAATCATAATTTGATTTTTTTTCATCCTCACCATAAACATAAGACTTAGTCAAATGAATTACAGAACTATTTGCTAATTTATTACAAAGGTTTTGTCATTTAATTTAATTTTAACTGAGCAACATTTAATAAAATTTTATTTCCAGTCAGTGTTTCACTCATGAACCAAACCTTTATCCATCCTATCTTGTTAACAGTCATCCCAAATAGTGCACAACACGCACACTGTAACTGTGACTACCTTCTTTTATAAAGGACACCATCAATCACAAAATTTTCCAACATGCAGCCTAAAGACGCCTTCAGCAGCTTGTTGTGGGTCCAATGCCAACTAAGATTAGTCAAGTTGAAACACTACTTCACTCCTCCACACCTGTCTAAGGTGAAACTCAATATGCTACACAGTCAAAACGATTAGCTTTGGCTAAAAAGTGACACAAATCAACAGTTAGGCTTCCTTTTACATGAGTGTGACACGGTGAGCATATTTTTATTTGTCAAACGAACCAAACAACCACCACTGCCAATGAAGTTGTATTTCTGACTGGTTACATTCTTAATGTAGCCAGCACCAGATCAAATACTCTTTCCAGCTGATTTAAAGGGAAGTGCGGAGGCTGTTATACATTTTCCAGGCACATACTTGAGTTCCATACCACACTCAAGTAACTGTTGCCTTAAGTTGTAATGAAAACACAATTTGACTTGCACCATAGCCTAAAACCCTTGAAATTGGCCTCCATTTCTTTAAGAACCTCCTACCATTTCAGAAACTCCCACTTCTTCTCAATGCGTCGGTGGAGGGGTGATCTGTGTGGGCTGGAGCTCCGCCAAAGACTGAGCTCACCTGGAAACTGAGATCCAGGGAGGAGCTAGGTACAAATAAGCGGTGCTTTGTATCAACAAGTGTTAAGGCAGCTCCACATGGCTACCATTCAGTGATTTCTCAGACATTAATGAATGAGTCAAAGAAACACTCTGGGTATGTTTTGATGAGGGAATGACATTACAAAATAGAAAACTCAAAATAGTCAATTTTGCATAATACTCTCCCTTTAAGGAGTTCTTGAAGAGACTGACAATAAAATAACAGAGAAAACCAGGTGTAGGCTCAGTTTAAACAACACAGATTTTAAGAGAAACCATAACATTGCTGTTGCACTTCGGCCATTTTTGTACATGACAACAGTAGCCATTTTCTAAAGATTTTTGGAAATACCTAGCATCATTTAAATGGAAACTGCAAAGTCAATATTTGTTTCAAGTAGAACAACAATGGTGGATTACAGCAGAGTGTAGTTTGCGCTACTCATCTTTTCCAACATGTGGGAGCAACTCAACCTCATCCTAAGCTAACATCTGCATATTCATCTTACTGGGATGCTCAAGACTGATGTATCTGTACGCTTGTGTTGTTACACAAAAAAATCACAGCGCCAGCTAATGACCAGGCATGGCAATTATAGCAGATTCAATAGGCACAGCAAAACGTGTTCCACAATGTTTCAAAAGCTGTTTTTAGAGATTAATCACAGGACCCCCAAAGTCTTGACCAACCAGAGAAACCCCAAATAAGAGCATGAGACAAAATACTAAACGCGAAACCCCACAAAAACCTTACACAGCTAAAGAAACATTTACACAAGAGTAAAAGCATGCCATACAGATAACACAGGACTTATTTTGTTGCAGCTCATGAACAATCCCCTATGATTAGTAGCAACAATAAAAGATAATAGTTAACACATTTGCAGGCAAATATGTGTCACCTGTAGAGAGCTTTCTGCATGACGACATCAGGCGGAGCTTCATTAACGCATCCATGTGAGAGTAATCAGTATTTAAGAGCTTAAAAACATATCTGAGCTAAATAAAAAAACTGAAGAAAATATGTTGTTTAAATGTTTTGTTAGCTTCTTGTTGCTAAACTACACCCAGAGACACTAAAAAGTAAACAAAACCTGTTTAGTGATCTAAACAGAGTATACATGTTGTTATTTGTATCGTAAGCTAGCTAGCATTCACTGTTAATTTACATTTCTGATACTGGATTCCACTTGTCTATAAAAAGCAGCGATCTATTTTTTTTTTTACTTTCTTGGTTTTTTGTAAACAAAAAAGATAAGCCCAATTTATGTGTGGCCCAATCWGAACCCAGAAACCTCTGAGGCTAAATAGTGTTTTATTTATTTACTCTTTTACTCCTAAAAAAGGTGCCTACACAATCGATCTCGTTTTTCATGATATTAATGTTACAAACAGTGGATGTTGAACAATTCTGAAGCAAAGCAGCAGCCTGTCACTAAAGCTACTTAATCGATCACAATTACTTTAAAACCCAAACAAGGCAGCAAATCATTTAACCACTGCTCTGCTTTAGGAAGACGTTGTAAACATTGCTGAAAAGTCTCTTTAAAACCAAATAAAACAATTCCAAAAGAAAATACTTCACTAATGCACAAGAATCGTGAGAAGACGTGATTGTTTTTTTGAAATGCATGACACCCATCCCAGGCCACAGATTACTTATAAATCTCTGATTCTAGTTGTTCTTTAAGCTGGAGTGTGTTTGTGATTAAACTTTGCTCAAGCCTGTTAGCAGGAGAGCGACCAGTCGCAGCACAACAGTCTCAAAAACAAACTCTTAACAGGTAATTTTACCGAATAGATCACATACTTTATGATGAGCAAAGTGTTCTAGTTTTGTTTTTTATTAGCTGCAAGTTTTCATTGTTTATTTCATTGCATTGTAGCGTCCCAAACACTTGAAAAAAGGATTTAAAAAGTTTCAACACACTTTTCTTTTGTTAAATTAGTCCAGTCTGGATGTACCTTAAACTTGCTGTTCATTGTATTGCGTAAATTTACTAGAAAAATAGGACCAAGAATATGTGCACAYGGGAGATTACTGATTTGTTTGCAGGACAGTAGGAATGTGCGATATGGCAAAAAAATTCATTTCACGATATACATTATGATGAGTGGCAGTAACGATATATATCACGATACAAAACTTTTAATAGAAAATAAATAAATCACACATTAATTGAGTGGAATAAATGTGTATAGGTAAAAAAATTTAGACCTTAAAATCTCTTTTTTAAGGGACACTTTAAAATCTCCCATAAAAATCTAAATTTAAGGGAGATCTACCTGGCGGAGTGYGCATGCATTCAGCCGTGTGTCGTCGTGCTATGACCGCAGGAGAAATGAGGTCCAGACTGATTTTTGTGCRTCCCACCTGAGCACTGACTTCACCTGCACTGACAGTCGCCTCGCTGCGTGGAAATGAATGGAGAGCGAGCGACGTCGCCTCCCGTGTGTCGAGCCCTTCACACATGCCGCGGCACGCGCTCCTCCCGCAGCAGGCAGTGTGGTCAGTCGGCATCTGACCGGAGGACGCACCGTCACGTAAACATGTAAAAAGTTCGGCGTTCATTTTTGCACACCTGAACCAGGTCCGGATAAGTTTTTTTCCCCTCTTCATTTGCGCTCTCAGCCACGCTGCTTCCCGCTTCCTCTGTTTTGACTCCAGCCGGTTAAGTCATCAAAAAGTATTGCGCGGTTGGCCAGTAGACTACAGATCTCAATCATAGGACAAATTTATATCGTTTCTACCGTATATCATTTATATCGCGCATTCCTACAGGACAGAGAGGCAAACTTGAGGCTGTCATTTTGAAAGGGTCAGAGGTGGTTACTCATAACCTGCATGAAGGGTGGAGGGCAGACTGTTATCACTCGCTGCTGAAAGATAACAGTGGACAAAGTTTTTGCTCTAAAAACACTGGATGAACTTCAGGAGTTGACCCCATTCAGCCAAGCTATCTTAGAAACACAACATTGTTTTACTGACACTGAGCTAAGATATGACGTGGATGCATCAGATATACACATTCCACAATACAAATAATACACTTTGAGTACACACAATCCACATACCAAAATTTGTCTGGCCCAGTTCTGGCCCACACAACGCACCAACATAGTCAGTCAGTCAATGCAAAGAATGACCAGGTTTGCCACATAAATCAAACCACAACTGGGCCAGTTGTGGCATTGAAAGATTTGGACCACATGAACATAATCACCACTGGACCACTTGTGGCAATGGCAGATTTGGGCCAAATAGACCAATAAACAATCTGGCCACTTGTAGTATTGACAGATTTGGACCACATAAACTACAACCTGGCCACTTGCAGCATTGAAAGATTTGGGCCACATAAACATAACCACCACCGGGCCAGTTGTGGCATTGACAGATTTGGGTCAAATAGACCAAACCACAACCAGGCCAGTTAAAGAACTGACAGATTTGGGCCACATAAACTACAACCTGGCCACTTGTAGCATTAACAGATTTAGAGCCACATAAACATAACCACCACCGGGCCATTTGTGGCATTGACAGATTTGGGCCAAATAGACCAAATCACAACCAGGCCAGTTAAAGAATTGACAGATTTGGGCCACATAAACATAACCACCACCAGGCCAGTTGTGGCATTGACAGATTTGGGCTAAATAGNCCACCAGGCCAGTTGTGGCATTGACAGATTTGGGCTAAATAGACCAAACCACAACCAGGCCAGTTAAAGAATTGACAGATTTGGGCCACATAAACTACAACCTGGCCACTTGTAGCATTGACAGATTTAGGGCCACATAAACATAACCACCACCAGGCCAGTTGTGGTACTGACAGATTTGGGCCACATAAATCAAATCACAACCAGGCTACTTGTGGCATGCAATCTTAAAATCAGTGACACCAGATCTGGCCCACACTTGGTGCACACCTTACAAAATATCCCACAAAAGAGTGAACCCAATTCAAGACGGCCACCATAGCTTTAAAATAAACTCTGAAATATTGTCAATTTACAGACACTGACCTTGCATAAGATTGGGCGTAATTTTTTCAAGGTTTAAGCAAAAACAGACACATTGTTGTCATTTCTCACCATAAGATGACCTCAGTTTAAAACTTCGGCATGAAAATTGGCAGGCCTTTAAAGAACTCTAGGGCTTTATTTAATAAATGTTATAAACCTGAAGGAATGGGTGTAAGTGTGAACTAAGACAAGAGTAATAATCTGTATTTTACTGCCTCTCCTCCAACGAGCTCTAATCTCTTAAAATGAGAAGTTTCACATTAGTGTCCCTACAGGCCGTGGGGAAATGACAAGCTGTTCTTTTTGTTACACTCAGCCATGTACAGTAATTACCTTTGTGTGACACTCTGACACTGGGAATCTTCAAACACACCAGTTTTCTCTGAGTCTGCTAAACCCACAGAAATACACCCCCCTCAAAGACCCGACCAGGCGCTGAACAGCTCCTGAAAAGAATAAAAAAAAAAAAACAACACACACACACACAAACCTGCTCAACAACTTATCGTTCACATAATGCAGTCCTGCCTTTGTTTTCCCTCTGTCACTTTTCATTCAGCAACAAGGAAATGTCAGCTCTCTTCACTCCAGTGCGCGAAAACACCCGGAAATCCACCCCAGCGCTACCATTCYGCCAAAGACGATGAGACGCACACGGCTCCGTGTACCACGAGAGCTGCCCTCAGCACCCGGAAACGGGCAGAGTTCTCCCCGGGGTAAACCATTCAACACCGGGGATCAATCCACCGCATACCGGGCACACACAGAGGGGTGTGACAATACCAACCTGCAGCTAACAGGAGAAAAGCGTCTGTTTGTCTCGATGCAACTAAATACTAAACACAAAAACACAACGTAAAATGTGTTTTCAGAAAGCCGTATGAGGCACCTGTTCCCTCTCGTGCACCCGCGTCCACTCACCCCGATCCAGGACCTGCTACGGAGGGTTCACTGCCCGTGTCCACCAACAATAACACGGCCTCCCGTCACAAGCTCAAACCGGCTGCTAAACACGGGCGTCACGCAACGATCTCAAACGGGGTCGGTAGTCCCCCACAATGTTATTATTACGTTACAAGTGAACACCCGGGGGCTCTCAGCTCATCCACCGAGCCTGCAGCATCACAGGTCCCCGCTGACGCGGATGCTAACAAAGGCCCGAGAGCTGTCTGGAGCGGAAGACCGACACAAGGAGAGGAAGGAGGCAGGCAGCAGAAAGGGAGACTGCTGCTTCAGCTTCACAAAACACTCCCGCTTAGCCCCTCTCTGAGCCGCCATAGCCACAATATTCGTACCGATCGGTTCACAAGTCGTGCCTGGTGCAACCGCGGGCGGAGAGAATGTGATACTCACCGGCGGAGAGGGTAGATGGTTGCGGATTTCGGCCCCAGTTTGTCTCTGACACCCCAGGCTTTTACTCCGACAACATGGCGGCTCGACGGAGGAGCAGGCAGCAGCGCAGCATGACGGGAAGGGCTGAGAGGGAGCGGAGGGTTCATTGCGTTTATAGCAGGCCGTTGTAGCATATAATTAAACCACACTTCCATCTTTAGTTTTATTTTTAGACATCAACAACAGCACTCTTCCTTAAATGGCATTCTTCCTTATCAGAATTTAGATTTAAAATAGCATTCTTACAAGTAAAACTATGTTCAAGGTGTTCAACACTGAGTTTCTATTTTTTTAAAAGACCAAATTTAGACTACTAGACTGTGGGAGATGTTAATAAATAATGTGTTCCTAGTCACAAAAAACCTTTTAACTGAGTAGATTAAATTTTATCCTTTATACAATCAATGTTTTAGATATTATAAATATTTTTTGGAAAAAAATCACATAAGTTGCTGGTTTCTATCTACAGGTGCATTTTTCCTTCATAAAATTAACAATGTTGAAAATAAAATGAATAGTTAAACTTTTAATGTGAGAGCCTACAATGTTGTTTTAATTCCTAAATTTAATTTCACATTTATTTATGTTAATATAGTATCTCATCAAGTTTTTACCAGACATCTAAAATAGCTTTATAAACATATGTAGGTAAAATATTTACAGTCATTAGTCTTATTACACTTGTCAAAAGCTGCTTTTTAACTAGTCAATATGTAGTGTCCCCAATGACTTTTCTAGTCAAATATATTTTATAAATTAAACTTATTATACGTTTTTTAGATATCCATTATGAAAGTACTGTTGACAAATGAACTACAGATAACTAAAATATTCATGTTCACAAAGAAAAATAAAAAAATGTTATGTGTCACAAACCGCTGTATTATATGTTACATCTGCTTGCCCAATCGTGCCATCCCTTTGTTAAMTGTGTGTGATATATTTGCATTGTTCTGAGGTTTGTTATGATTTTGGTTTGACCTCATTCRCATATTTCTCCTACAACAGTAAATGTTTTGCAGCATTTTGAGACACTGTTTATGAATCACAGGAGCAGATTAATGACATAAATTAATGAAGCTGGGAAAACAATAATTGTATCACAACAAATGATTTAAAATGTTTAMATGTGCTGGGCTATGTTAACAAGAAAAACGCCCAAGCATCCTAGTATTATGCTTTAACCACACATATGTTTATATTATGTGACTTAGTGGATGTACACAAAGCGATGGGGTCTCCACGGTAACAGGGCTGCTTGTCACCATGGTAACCGCACAGCCCTTCAGTGCGTGACTACTGGACGCTGTGTACATCTCTGTATGTAAAAACATAAAKTAAAATAAAATACCCTGGTTGTTTGCATGGTTTATACAGGGGCATTGGCCCCAGCTGAAATCTGATTGGCGCCCCTGCAGTGCCCCTGTCCTGTCACTCATCTGTCTTTTACCTGGGAGCGATGATGGTGGGTGTAGTTCCACGTTCAAACACTAGAGGCGCCAATGAGTCAAATGAGAAATTCCAACATGAATCAAACTTACAGAAGTTTTTCCTCAAATTCTGTGTGTTTGAAAGTATTTTATATATGCACAGTAAAATATATGTAAAACTGGTAAGAAGAATTTATTGTGCAAGTTTTTTACAAAAAAGTACATTACATTAGAGGTGTTTGAACAGGTGTGACTGGTTAAATGTATAGACCTTACCAAAACTGGGGATTTGTGTGACAGGATGTTGAACAAATGCTTGGCCCCTCTATGAATATAGTGGCC